CCTGCAATAAAACTTGAGGAAACTTTGCCCTTGTTTCTGTGGCTCCACTTGCTGGGGCAAAAATCCCTTAATTATGATGCATGGCCTCCCTGGAACAGTGTCTGCAGACCCATAGTGGGATGAGTTGCACAATTGGATGTTATAAGATTTGAGCTAGCTTCTGTAATAACCTTAACCCATGAGTAATGTGAGTACCTCGTTTGACACATTTTTCCCCCTGAAAGATGTATGAAAACCAGCACCAGCTGCCTCAGCCTTTGTAATAAATTTAAAGATCCGACTCCATTCATCACTTCAAATCTAGTCAAAATGTGCTTTTGTCAACAATGCGTGTTCTTCATGAATTCTGCCTATTTCAGAAATGCTGCTATTGTGCTGTAGAACCTTCAGTAGTTGTGCCACCCCCTTTCCGAAGTGCAAACATGAGGATGGTGCAGCAGTGTTCTCATTTTCCAAGCATGTGCCTCAAGATTCTGCTTGATGTGCATCCCGGCAAAGCACATGTCTGGTCCACATGTGCTCTGGTGGACTACAGACATGGTAGAGTTCACTACTCTATTTCAGACTGCAGGAAGGTGATGCGAGTTTAAATGCTCTTCTACAATATAAATCTTCTTATAAGGCAAAAGCTAGTATAATAGGAAGGAAGAGTGTTGTTCAGCTCCCTTCCTGCTGTGTTTGTTTTCTGCTTCCAAGTAGTTGTTAGGAAAACATTCAAAGATGTGGGAAATCTATTATCTCCTTCACCCCTTCAGTTCATAGAATCATAGAATAGTAGAGTTGGAAGGGGCCAGAAAGCCATTGAGTCCAACCACCTGCTAAATTACACCATCCTGTGACTATCATGATTTTTTTTGTAATGTCTCCAGTGAGGGAGAAGCCACACCTTCCCCAGGTAATAGTTTCCATTGTTGTACTGCTCCATCAATGAGGAAATTCATCCCAGTAGCTAGTCCTAATCTGGTTCCTTTTAACTTAAGACTGTTATTCTGTGTCCTACACTCTGGAATGAATGAGCAGAGATCTTGTCCTTCCTCCTTGTGGCAGCCTTTGAGGTTCTTGCAGAGGGCTATCGCATCTCCCCACAGTCTTCACTTCCTGAGGCTGAGCATGCCCAGGTCTCTCAATCTTTCATAACAGGGCTTTGCCTCCAGTCCCTGAATCATCCTTGTTGCCCTCCTCTGCACCCCTTCTAGCTTTTCTGCGTCTTTTTAAAACTTGGGTGCAGAACTGAGCACAGTCCTCCAGGTGAGGTCTAGCTAGTGCTGAGTGTAGTGCAACTAGTACTTCACGTGTTTTGGAAGTGATGCTTCTGTCGACGCAGTCCAAGGTAGCATTTGCCCTTTTTGCAGCTGCTTCACACATTTGCACACCCTGCTGTAATTTAGTGCTGCCAAGAGAAAAGACAGCCCACCAAGTAAGTTCCCGGAAACTCCAGGTATGGCTCTTGGGAAAATTTCTGAGGTGGGGAACGTCTCTTGATGATGATGATGAAGATGGTATTTAACTTTGTATAATACTTCTCATATATTTTTCTCAGTCCTTAAAACAAATGCCACAGCGAAACATGCCAGCTTTTTTTGTGGTCCCACAAGATTGTTCCACTTTCTCCACACAAAAATAAAAATCCAGCTCCAGTGGTACATTTCTGAAGTTCTGAACCCTGACCCTCCTGTGGCAAACAAAGTTGTAGTGGAGAGCAGGACATAAGGCAGGTTCGGCTGTGGAGGAAACAGGGCCACTACAATAGTCATAAATCCAAATGCTTCTTACGTTAGCAAAAATTGACTTTTTAATCATCTTTGGATGTGTTTAGTTATTTCATTAAATCACAGCATAGCTCAGCCTCAAGAAGAGAAGATTATGAGGGGATATGATAGCATTGTACAAGTACCTCAATGGCTGTTACAGAGAGGAAGGAAAAGACCTCTTCTCACTCACCCGTGAGTATAGGACATGGAACAGTGAACTGCAGCACACCAGGGTCAGGATAAATACCAGGAAAAGCTTCCTGTCAGTGGAGCCAGTTGCCGAGAGAGGTTGTGGGCCTCCCACACTAGAAACATTCAAGGTGAAACTGGACAGTCATCTGAGAGGGATCGTGTGACTTGATGTCCTCCACTAGCTGCCTTGGCCCCTTTGGATCCTATTCTTCTATGAATCTGTAAAACTGCCCTGAAAATCTTAGCAGTATTTAATTGCAATCACAAATAATTTATTAATGTAAGCTCGTTCCCATGCCCTTGATCACATCCATCCTTTGGCAAAACTCTTCATTGAAGCTAAGAGCTTTCTGCCTGTTGGAATATGTACAACACAATGGATTTTTAAGTAGATAGCTTCTTGGGGACTACTGTTAATTATTAAGTTATATTGATATAGCCCATTGGATATTGGTTTAACTGAGCTACAAATCCCAGTTCTATAGTCAGAAGGCACATGGTGATGTTACATTGCTGAAATTAAACAAATTTAACCCTGGCTGGTTCTTCATCAAATCCTAGAATAGTAGAGTTGGAAGAAGCCAAACAGGTATCAGGCCCAACTCCCGGGTCCATGTAGGACTCCAAGCTTCGCCATCCCTCCAAGATGGCTACCCAGTTGCATCTTCAATGGCACACTGCTCAAGTACCTCTTGCATGCTGCCTTGAATCCAGTGAAAGAAGACTAGAAGGGATCTCATAACTGACTGCTTAAAGGCTTCTCTTAGCAAAAAACAGAGTTGCTGGTTTACCAGCTCAGACTGGTCAAAGGGACCATGTGACACCAGTCCTTTGTCAGCTGTTTGACTTCCAGTTCATTTCTGATCCCAGTTCGATGCATTGGTACTGACATTTAAAATTCTAAATGGGACCATGGTATCTGAAGTAACTCTCCTGTATCAACTTACTTGGACCTTTTGGACATCTTTGGATGATGCTACATATATGGCTAAGACAGAGGATGTTTCCAGTTACTATGCTTCATTTATGGAATACCCAATTCAAGGAGGCTTGTCTGTCCACACTGTGCACAGCAAAAACCTTTCTTTTCTCTAGGAGTTAAGTTTTTAAATTTCATAATTGTCTTTACATATGCTATGTTTATTCCTGTGCTGTTTGTTATTCTGCTTTTCCTGGCATGGTAGGCTATTATTTTTGTTTTTGCAAATCACTTAGAAAACATCTTGTATTGGGTGGCATAAAAATAAAATATACATAAATAAATGAAAAAAGAAATAAGAAAATTCCTAAAGATCACCCAGCGTCTCAGAGAAAGACGCATTTACTATTTGCTGCTGAATGTTGTCTCTTGCTTTTCCAGCTGGGATTCCTGATGCAGGCAATAACACGAGGAATTTAAATGCATGGGGAGTGCCACTGAAAAGCCTAATTCATATGACCTCAAGCCATCTGACCCACAGCATGGGAAAATATCATATTCTCATTTCATGGATAGGATCTATTCATGTTCTTTCATCAGTGCACAAAATATATGGACACTCTTATGCACAAGCATAAGAACCCTCTTTTTCTACTATAGGACAATGTCCTTTTTCAAGTGGTGATATTTTGGCTTAATAAGCTGAAATGTGTCTATGCCTTTTGCTTTGTTTTCCTGCTGCTCCATTTATCTTCCTTCCTTGGCGCATTGCACACCATTAAACCGAGAAGCTGGCTGTTGTTGTTGCTGTTGTTACTACACTGCATTTATAGGCTCCAAGGTGTCTCCCAGGGTTTTTCTCCTCTGAGTGTAATCCCGACAACAGAAATCCTGAGAGGTAGGTTAGGCTGAGCATCTGTGACTAGCCCAAAGTCTCCTAGTTAGCTCCATGGCTGAGTGGGGACTAGAACCTAGATTTCTGGAGTCACAGTCCAGCACTCTTAATTGATACACTGTTTCTTCCTTTGTCCAAACCATAGTTTCCTAGTTTGGACAAACCAGGAGGCAATGGCTAATTGAAGACTTCTGAATTTAATTGCAGTGTGTGCTGAGAAAGGAAAAAGGAAGGGACAGCCTGAGGTCAAAGCTGGAGGGTCCAAACATGGTGAATGAGTGTGTCAGTATATGCAGAGACTGATTTATGTGATTTCCCCCCTCAACAATGCTGAGACAAAGCAGATGAGAGATATGTGGGAAGCCTGCTGTGCATTGATACAGAGCTGGGAGCTCTTCAGTTCTAAGCATGTTGTGCTCCATGCAGCTTATTTTCTAGTAAGATTAGAACTACAGTCTGTTTAAGGTTTGTTGCCAAAGAACAGAGCTCACTTGGATGCTTAAAATCAAAATAGTCTTATTTTTTTTAATTTTAACTCAATTTCTGTCTTAGAAACATGCTTTAATTTTGTAGATTCCTAATCTTGGATGCAGGTTAAAATATAGTGTTGTTATTTTTTCTTTTTTTTTTTTTTTGCTGTGGATGACCCTGTTAATTTGGCTGGGCAGTGATCTCTGTTTAAAATTGATTTAATGTAAATTCAGCAGCACACACAAAGGAATCCCACATAGCCATTAATTTCAAGTCTTGTTCTATTTGAGCAAGTGCTGAAGTCAAAATAGATTCTGGATGTAGTCCAAGTAAATATCTAACTAATTTATTTGATTAATATGTACTTGTCTGTCCAACTTTGTTAATGCGCGCGCGCGCGCGCTCTCTCTCTCTCTCTCTCTCTCTCTCTCTCTCTCTCTCTCTCTCTCTGTGTGTGTGTGTGTGTGTGTGTGTGTGTGTGTGTGTGTAGGCTAGTGAACATTTCTGCTTAAAGGCCTTCTAGTCTATTTTACAGTATAAAAAGCTGAATTCTAAACCTGTTTAGTAGCTCCCAGAGTTTAGTGGGGTTATGGCAATATGCAGTCTAAGAATGGTCTTAGATTGGTCTGTTATCTTACATATCATTGTGCCATGATGTCATACAATTAATGCTTCAGTTTCTGTGCTAAATTCCCCATTTGATCTGTTTGAAAATACTGAGCCTGTTCCAATTAGAGCAAAGTCGTCATCTTGTTTTCCCTTTTCTTTTTAGCCCAGAGGAGTTACCTGACTATGATGCAGCATCAGAGAGGGTAAGTGATCCTTCTCTCCTGTAAATTGTCAAGGGATACCCTGGGAACTCTCAGTGCTGTTCCGCTGCTGAAGCTAAGTGAGTGTAGCTCTGTTAAGTTCCTGTTTGGTAGGCTGTTACACAGATGAACTTGTCTTATATGCATTATGGCCATGAGTCTGGCTAGCCCAAGGTCATTCCCAGACCCTCCACCAATCTGCATTTAACGGGACTATTAAATGACGGATGTGGGAAGTTGCCTAGTCTGAGTCATTCTATTGGTCCATCTCGCTTAGGATTGTCAACAGAATGGATCGGCAGCCCCTCTGTAAGGTTCTATATTGGAGTCTTTCCTTGGTGTATCTGGAGATACCAGAAATTGAGTCTGCAGCCTTCTGCATGGAGAACACATACCTTACCAAGCTATTGCCCCCAGTGTGGATTCCCATGTGGGTCATACTGCTCTTTCCTTTCTCAAATTACCATGGATCTAACTGGATACTTAGCCAGTTGCCTTCTTGGCTTCCTCAGAATGACACTGGGACAATTTTACTTGCACCCTCCACCCTCTTTTGATGGCAAGAGTATTTGCTGGGTGATACCTAAGCCTGGCTCTCTTTTGTGAATGAGTAGATCCCTCCTTTCTGTTTCCCAGGCAAGTCTGTTGAGAGCATTCTTGTGTCCAGACTACAGAATCATCGGGAAGTGGCTTGAAAACGCTTGGCTCTGTGGTTCCTTTGCAGATTCCTTTTTGAACTGCTCCCTGTGAAAGGGATATCCCCAAAGGGTGTCGTGCAACATGCTCGCTTCTTGGTGGAAAGTCAAAACTTAAGCAGGCCAGCTGATACGGGGCCTGCTGGGGATGAAGCTAACGGTGGATGAGGGACAGTCAATAGCTGGAAGGCTGAGGTACATTTTTGGGGTGATCTGAGGAGACTTTGCTCCTCGGTTAAAGAGGCAGAGGCTTGCTCTGCAGCACACTTCCATCGCATCATGCACTGGAGGCAGTGCTGCGACTGCTAGCTTCGCTCTGCACAATGATCCTCATTCATGTCATGCGCTCTGAGTGGGGGTTTGGCCAGGATCTGATGTGCCCGAGGCCCACGCCTGCCAGGAGCTTCCACCCTACGCATGTGAGAGATTGCGTGATGCGGTGCACTTGGCTGGGCATAACACTGGCTACTGTGAGACCAGTCTGGCTGCAATTACATGGAAGTGCCTGATAAATCAACCCCCCTGTTTCCTGGTCTCTGTTTTGTAAAGATTCAAGATGTAGCCATTCTTTCCCATTCCTAATCTTGATGATTATCTGGTGTTGACCGTCTCAGGAAGGTGGTGGCTCATATACTAACGGTGGCGTTGCCCTGCTCTTGGGCTCGGCTAAAAGGTCACTTGCCATGTAGATGCTGGTCCTGGCTGGTCCTAGTCTGGGAAGCTGGGAGAGCAACTCAGGTTCCTCCTGCAGCTGTTGGCTCAGTGCACATGTAACTAAGGTCTCAGCCTAGCTCAGGCTGCTCTCTCTAACTTAAATACTCTCTGCATAGTTAGGCTCTTAGAAATGCCTTCTCCCTCCCATCCTATGTATGAGGGACTAGAAGCTTTTGCTTGTTGTTGTATAATTTAGGGCCGAATTCTGCAGATTCCTGGGGAACCTCTCCCCCACCCCCAAGAGGTCCAGCATCACTCCTGCATGGATGTTATGCATTCATGGTTTCAGGGTTTCTGAACTGATTCTAAGAAACCTCCTATGTAGGGATGGCAAAGATGAATTCACATTTCTAATTAACAGATCTAGTTAACTTCTTTGGAATGATATTTTACTACAGTTTATACTTTTGGAAATATCCTGACCTCTGACCATTTCATAATGTTGCTTTAATTGGTATTTCATAGTCTTTTAAGGTCTCATGTTAAATTGCTTAGATGACAGCTGAAACTACTTGGGTTGGATCCAGATAGTCTTATTGGGTATATCTCTTGCAACCAATGACACAGGTTAGTCATGACTAAGTTTCTGAGTGTATAAGGATGGCTAAGTCTGGTTGAATCAGATGTTTAGCCTTGCCCTAGATTTTTCCCCTTCTTTACTTTTTAATTTTCAGCTGCCTTTTTATTGTCTCTAGCAGTGTAACTGACAGTAAATAAAGCAACTTTTACTTTTATTCACTTAATGTTATGTTTCATTCAATACATATTTCACACTAAATTAAGCACAAGTGGGTTTTTATACTAGTAGTCAAACCACTCAGTCCTTCAGAAAGGAGGACACTAGGGATGGATGGTAGTAGTTTTAATTCCCTGTTATGTTTTAAAATGTTGAAATGTCAGATGGTATAAATTACTAACTAATAAGCATTTTCTCTAATTATGCAATGAAGTTTTAATGATCTGTGGAACACAGTGGACAGGCAAACGGATGAGTCCCGGAGTGCAATCATTGATGTTTGCAAACCCTGCAGCTTAGCTAGCTTAGGAGCATAGGCTTGCTTGCTTTCTATACTAAGCTTGCATAGGATTGTCTCTTCGTGTAGTTGGAACTCCCCTTGTACATTTTGGCACCCCAAGGAAAATAGTAAAAAGAAGAGAAGCAGAGTTAGAACAAGCCTATAAGACCCTCAAGTTCCACGCCCTGCTCTGCTTCCACACGTGGTCACCCATCTGGCTTCAGTGTTATATCACTTTAGAACTGAGAGACCCAAATATATACTGGAGCACATTAGCGTGCCTTGAAAAAGTTTTGGCTAGAAACTTTGGTAAAATGTTTTGGATCATGTATTCCATGCCCCTTGAAAAGGGAAGTGATGGCACTCGACAGACCGTGGCTTAGGATGCACTTGGCTTGGGGGATTTCCAAAAACATGCTATTGTCCAGAAAGGATAGCTACCCCTGAATCCAGATTGACTTACAAAAAGTGAAGGAGGGGATGCAAGAAATCACCTAAATGTGAGTGGAGTGAAATAGCACTCAAACTTTCAGCCCCAAAACTTCCTACTTATTACATACCTGTGCGAAAGTTTTTAGTTGGGTGGCCATTGCTAGTACTGACCTTGGCAAACTAATGCAAACTTTCCATAGGAAGTTATCTGAAGAAGAGAAGATTATAGCCTGCACAATGGTTATACTCATTAAAGTATTGTGAAGTACTTTGAAATTACGGTAGGGATGTCTTTAGGCAATAGCCTCAGTGTCTGTCGCATAGTATCTGTTACGTACCAGGGCAAACCTGTGATTAGGCAGGTACAGTGGCATTTAAACTAAATTACATCTCTTCTCTGGGTGTGGTTGAAGGGCAGTGTGCATACTTACTGTTTTTTATTTTATTGGCATGACTAGTCAACTATTTATTCTAGAAGGTGTTTCTGAAGTTGGCAGGCTCAGAGGAGAATTGTCTTATTATCATTATTATCCATGCATGCTCTCATGATTTCTAAGATTGTGATGTTACCGCTTAAAGTGTGTGTGGGGATGGTGGCAACCTCTGTGCTTTGGGGCATCTTCATTGACCCTTTTGATACCTGCAAGGGATACACCCTTTCCATCCCACCCCTGCTCTCCCTCCCTCTTTCTCTCTCTGAAAACATGAGAGAGGCAAAAGTTTAGAAAGCAATGAAAGAGGGAACAGGCAGGGAGGAAAGAATATCTTGTGAAACCATTTCCATTCACATTATTTGTTCACATCATCATTAATAAAGAGAAGAAGAAAAAGAATGGCTGGTGGAAGTCACCAGTAGCACCAAATCTTTGGAGACAAGGCATGTATAAAGTTGTTCCAAACCGCCCGCTGCCACAAGCCCCATTCCGGAGTGGGCAAGGCTCAGAGGCAGTGCATGGGCGGTTACACAAAGAGCCATTGCAGCCCTTGTCTTGCCACCCCCATCGTGTTTTGTGTTCTCTTGAAGGAAAAGTGCAGTGTGTACCTGCGCAAGCCAATAGTTACAGTCACCGCGAGCAGCCTTTCTCTTAGGAAAGATGGCAGGAGAAAGCCCACCCGATTAGATGCTGCCGGCTAAAGACAGTTCACACATTTTTAAGCAGCCGAGTTCCTTGCTGTGTTGTCACACCCAGCCTTTTCCAGTGGAAAGACTGTGCAGGTTAAAGGAGCAAACCATATTGGTCTTGACTGCTGAGGGCACTCTGCAGCCGATTTCACAGTAGAGCCGAAAGGTCCGTCCATCTCTGCCTGATCTTTCCTGAAGGGAAAGCAGGACTGGGTGGAAGAACCTCCCCGCAGCTGCCTTTCTAGCTTTGGAGCAGAAAAAAACAGGGAAGAAAGGGATGCCAGTTTGACTTTTGTGGTCAAAGCTCTCTGCTTTGGCCACAAAAGTGCCAATAGTACAAGTAGGGGTAATAATATAAAGAATCCTCAGGTTTCCCCCAACTTTGGAGTGGGGCAGCAGGGAGAGATCTCCATGCAACTGCCCAGGTAATCCCCATGCATCCCACTGAATTAACAGTCAGAGGGAAGGCTGGCTACCTCAGAGGATTTGTTGAAGCCGGGTGTGGATTGCTCCTCTTCTTCAAAACTGTTTAGAGAATACATCATGCAAGACAATAACTCATGCTTGCTGTTTATCAAATCAGAAAAGAGGGCATGCTTTCCTGGATAGGATGGACAACAAATTCTAAAGAAATATCACTTAAAATTCTGGCTCAGTCTAGATAAATGACCAGATGTAATAAATACTGTAAACTGTTTTTCCCCTTCACCGAGGTATGAACCTTCCTGATGTTTTGGCCTACCAGTCCCATCCACATAGCCAATGATGAGTGCTGACAGAAGTTGGTTAAAAGATCTGGATGGCCACAAGCTGTCCACCTCTGCTTTGGTTAATTTCTGTTTGCTAGATCACTGGATGGCGTGAAGTTAAAACAAAAGAACAATTCCTTGGGCATAGCTTTAAAATTTGCATTTGGGTTAAAGTACTGATCAGCTTCTTTTTGCTGAGAAGTTGAATGCATTTCTGTGTTTGTTTCTAAATGCTTGAAAAATGTCTAAAAATTATTTGGTGCAAATGGAATGTACTGAATAATGGGCTCATTATTTCATTTCAGCAAAAGCAGCTTGAAATCGAAAGAACTACAAAATGGCTGAAGATGTTGAAAAGCTGGGAGAAATACAAGAACACTGAAAAGGTAACGATAAATGTTTTCACAGGCAGTTGCATTTACTGAATATAATACTATTAATTTGGGTGCTGTAGTGTCAGGCTTCCATTTTTGTATTACCATGGCATTCATTATAATATTCATCTTAAACAACAAATGTACAAAGAATCTGCTTTCAGAGAATTTCCAAGAGCTGCATTACACTGGCAGTTCAGCTTCAGGGGTAATAATTGCTTGAGAATTATGGATTTATAATTGTGCCATAGGAATGGAACTGGTTTACAAAAGTAGAAACTCAGAGGTTCAGTGAACAGATTTTTAAATCTTCACAGGCGACATTGAGCTTATTCTTTTTCTACCCACCTCCCCTCCAGGGACCTTCCCACTTAGTGTAAGTAGGCAGCTTGCTTAAACTTACAGAGCACTAGAAACCTTGGTGCACAGAAAGTGGGTAACTGTCAGTGAGCTGTTTTGCATTTGGAATGGTTCCTGAGCATAAGTTATAGTTGACCATGCAGCTATAAACTCGTTCAAAGATTTTGCACTTTGGATTGCTCTCCTGTACTTTTCAAACGACTTTGCTGCAAACTGCAGTCAGAGATCAGTGCAAAGAAATAGAAGAGAACCACAAAAGGGGATAAACAAGAGGTCTCTTCTAGAAGATCCAATGAATCAGAGGGAAATTCAAACCTATTAGGAATGCTAAAACGGGAAAAAAGGCAACATACTTAGCAGACCAGGAGCCAATAAAGAGAAGGTGGAAAGAATATTCAGAAGAACTTTACAGAAGCAAAGAAAGGATGACAGAACTCTTCACAGTGGAATCTTATGAAGGAGAACCTGCAATATTAGAAAGAGCTGCTCTGAAGGAACTTGCAAAGGATAAAGCACCTGGAATAGATAGGATGCCAATAGAACTACTCCCGGCTGCAGAAGATGAATCAGACCAAAGCCTCTCAAAATTTTGTCAAGCCATATGGAAAGCAAAGCAATAGCCCCAGACTGGAAATGTTCTATATATATTCCAGTCCCCAAGAAAAGAGACGCAAAAGACTGCAGCAACCATAGGGCCATTACTTCGGCAAGGGGCGGCATAGAAATGTTTTAATAATAATAATAATAATAATAATAATAATAAATTTAATAAATAATTAATCTCACATGCCTGCAAAAGTGGCATTCAAAGTGTTTCAACGAAGAATGCTACCCTGTATGGAGTAAGACATGCCAGATGTCCAAGTTGGATTCCAAAAAGGAAGATGCAGTGTAGATTGTATTGCAAATATATGTTAGCTATTAGAGTGCTCCAGAGAATTTCAGCAAAAGATCAGTATGTGGTTTATAGACTACAGCAAAGCCTTTGACCATGTGGATCACACGAAGCTATGGATGGTCCTGAAAGAAATGGGTGTGCCTTTGGACCTGGTAGTCCTGATATGTAACCTGTATTAAGGACAAGAAACTACAGTTAGGGTAGAATGCACAGAAATAGAATCAGGATCAAACTCTGATTGATAGCTTTTATATACCGTCCTACTGCTGGCATGTTAGTAAATCACAGTATTAAACTGAGTTTCCCCAGTGCAGATGTAATGCTAAGTTCTAGCTAACTGAAGCAGAAAACAGATGCTTCTGAATAGGATTGGAATGAGTCCTTTCAGAATCTGTCCCTACAGAATCCACAGGCTTCCTCTCATGGTCAGCCCAGTCCTGCAAAGCGAGCCAGGCCAAGAAGTCCATGGATTTTTTCAGACCCCCTGCTGCCAGGCCCAGTAGTCAGCCTTCTTTCTTGCCACTGGGCATGGAAGAATGGTGCTGTTTACATAGCATATGGAACTTGGCTTCTGGCAAGCAGCGGAAGAACCCTGGGCTGCTTGCTGAATTCTCAGGCTTGGCTGCTGCAAAGCGGACCGGCATCCAGGAAGCCAAAGCAGGGAATCGAAGATTTTCCTCTCGAAGTGAACTCCTTGCACATCCGTGTTTCTGATCCCCTCTTCAGAGCTGCACTGGTGTGGGGAGGGGAAGGAACATGTCAGCCTCATGTTCACTGTTTGTTCGTTGCAATTTTAATCGTAGTTTAGTGTTGTGTCAGAGGGAAGCCCTTGTCTTGTTATTGGATTAAAAACACTAACTCAGGACAGCAAGTGCGAAAGATGATTCCAGGCCACTCTTTTTTCTGAAAGTCCCATTTAACTGCTCCTGTTTTTACACATCGCTAGAATGTGTAGCCTAAAAAAGCCATTCTAAAATGACCAGTAAGTTTTCAGAAGAAATGCATATGTGGTATTCCTGAGGCTACGATTTATAGCTCTTACAATGTTACTGCAGGAGTTGTGTGTGAGTGTGTGTTTGGTGCGGGGGCAGAGGACGGGACTAATGGCTCTACTTAAAAAACCAAACCAGCGGAAAATGAATGGAGAAGGGGGAAATGTAACACTGGAAGAAAATGTAAAAGGTATAAAAATCGAAAAAGTAACATCTCAGAAAATAGGCATACATTTCTGTACAACTGTGTTGTTAGATGAGAGAGCAGCACACCTTAATAGCATAGTTTTAATCAGGATCTTGCATGTTTTTCAGGACTGGTCATGAGTTAAGGTCAGCTTAAGTTAGGTGTGCAGAACAAAAGAACGCGAGACGAAATCCCACCCTACAGTCTGGCTCACTGGGGATACCCAGATGGCCATGCCTCCTTTCCCTGGCCCCACCCCTTTTCTACAACCAGGTGTTCTTTGCTGGTTTCCTGGCCTTTGTGCCATTTTTAGTCCACATTCAAAAAGGTTTACTATCCCTTCTAAGGTTTAGTTACTTCAGTAAGAGCTTTAAAGTAAGTTAGGCTGGTATTTTGCATCATGGCCTTTATGCCTTTGCTTCCCCAGAGAATGCACCTTGTAAAAGCTTATCTGGGCCACGAACTAAAAGAAGTCATCTGTTCCTGGATTGTACCATTTATTTATTCATTTCATTTCTTTACTACCTGTAGCTGAAACTCTCTGAGTGATCCTCAGTAAGGTTGAACTGTAAAGATCCCTGTCGGTGTCCTCCAAATCTTCAAACCCTTTTCTGTGCTGTTCTGCTTTTACTCTGGTTGTGGGAGGGTATCCCTTGCACTCTGCCTGGCCCCCTATTTGATCTCTGCAAATGTCCAGGAAAGAGCATGTGCAGCTGAAGGAGCACCAGCTCCTATCAAGTGCTTCAGAGTTGTGGTTCATTGCCACCCAGCTTCATCCACAGAGATGCACAAGCCACGTGGGAATGCCTTTCAGCCACAGGACAGGCCCCAGCTGCAGTTCTTACCGGTTTCGATATCTTCCCACAGCCCAGCTTGAAGCATGTCTTCTCAGGAATGAACCCTGGCACAAGAGGTCTTGTGCCTACAGAAGTGCAGTTTAGTGTATGCAGGTGGTTTAAACTACCTGTAAATGCCCTCTTTGCTCTGATCACAGAGGGTTCTTACGCCAGGTCTAGGATAGGAGGACTCCACTTCTCCAAGGACTCCAGGAAGAAGGTGTGCTGCCAGGAAGCCATGCAGAACTGGGTGATATTTCCCTTTGCAATGTCAGGATGATCCTGACTGTTCAGATTTGTTTATTAGCTTTATTTCCCTTGATAGAAAGGACCGCTACCTTGCTTAACTATGTCCTAGTGGAGCCCAGAGTGTACTTTCAGCCTGAATAATTCCCTTCTCTTAGATATCCAATCTGTAGAGTCCAAAAATTAGGCCTCAAAACCGCAATTGCTTTACTGCACACAAATGTTTTAATAACACATTTAAAAATTATTCTGCTTCTGGAACAGACCTTCTGTTACGTGACCTGTGTTGCACATTGTGCAAAAAAACTTATACAACGAAGCACCCTCTGCCAATTTGTGGTATGACCCTTTCCATTCTGAGGTCCTTGTTACAGAAAATGACTGGCAATTTTACCTTCCTCATTCCCTATCTTTCTAGAAGTTTGGAAGAGAAATACCAGTTAAGGCATTTAAGGATGTGAAAACTGTTTTGTAGATTGGGTAAGGGAAAGGAGGGAGAGAGAGAAACTTCCATAAGAATGAATGGAAAATCAAGCGTGGGAAAATAAATGTGTGTCTGGTTTATTAGTCAGGTCTCCTGCTCAAACACCACAAAATGGGTGTGTGTTTGTTTGATTGATTTATTCAGATTATTATTATTTACAATTCTGTACTGCCCAGTAGCTGAAACGGTCTGGGTGTTTACAGTAGTTTCTAAAGAGAACTGTGATACAATAAAATTCACTAAAATTTACCCTAATGATTTTAAATCATTTAATTTAAAAGACAGTATGTAATACAGAATACACCACTTAGAAAGACCAAACTGCCCCATCAAATCATTAGTTAACTTTAGATGTCCTTGAATGCCTCAGTAAAAAGGTCTTTCTTGGCATCAAAAGGATGACCCAGTTACTCTTCCTAACCTGCATCCAGGTGAGCTGCAGCAGGGAGATCATTCCACAGAAGAGGAGTCCTCACTGAAAAGACCCTTCCCCTTGTTGCCATCCTCAGAGCCCCCCTTGGAAGGGGCACTCAGAAGAAGGCTTTGGATATTGACCATAGTGTAGGGGTAGATTGCATTTCGGGGAGGTGTTCCATCCGGTGCTGTGAGCCCAAGCTGTATAGATTAAAAACAGCGCCTTGAATGAGACTCAGAAGCATGTGGGCAGCCAATGCAGAGAGGCCTGGAGCGATGTTATGTGTTCAGACCTTTTGGTCCGAGTTATTAATCTGGTTGCTGCATTTTGCACAGTTTGCAGTGGACGTTGTTCCAGGGCAGACCCTCACAGGGTGCAATGTAGTAATACCATTTATAATTTGCCAGAGTATAGCCCTTTTTATTCAATCCATATTTTAATATATTTTAACTGTGAGATTATTTATTTATATTTTATATGATGTTCAGTCAGCGTGGAATAGTTAACTTATTTTATTCTGAAATAATGTTGTAAGCCGTGCAGAGACGGAAGTAGTGGACGGAGTACAAATTTAATACATACATACGTACTACT